GCGTTTGCGCTTAACATTTCGAAGGCGGGAAGAAAAACTATAATATTAGGAGATCAACGGTGCTTTAATAAAAAACAGAAATGCTTAGTTAATCAACGGATATAACAGACTATCGGCAAAGAGAATTCGGGGGTAAACAATGCGAGAAAAAAAAACATTATAAAGATCTGAAGAAAAAATTGAAGAATAGGCCGGGGCCTAAAAATAAAGAAAAACAACAAGGAAAAGGTTTGTAAAGTTTTGTATGTAATATCCTTTTTGTGTGTGTTTTATTGATAAGTGATCATTTTAAATGTAGTAGGCCTATCACAGGTTTTAGTCTCTCATAACCCTTAGTAGGGTGGGTTCTATTTTTTTAACGTGAGACGTTAATAAAATTTTCATTATTGTGTATCCAGTCCCGTATACGTATTAGGCCTACTGATTTGTACAAACGGGGCTCATATTATCAAGATCAACAGAGACATACGAAGAAGAAAGTACATCGGCTCTTGTTGAACGCGTTATCGGCAAAATAAAAAGTGATTTATTTCTGAACTCAATGACAAGAGCATTGGGAAATTCAATGGGCATATAAAGGTATATTTACAAAAAAATGCAGAAAAGCCTTTCTGTAAGCTACACGTACATAATGCATGTATGGTAAATACAAAATGGATAATAAAAATAATCTAACAACGTATTTGTAAAGTAATACAAATATGCTTAGTATTAAAGTAGGCCTTAGTATTAGAGTAGGTCTTAGATAGTTGAAAAGTATGAAATGTGTGGGAAACACTTTATTTGAATGATTTAATTGTCTGTGATTGAAAACGATGAAAATACGCATGAAAACATTTAAAAATCAAATAATTTGGCCTCTTGCTATAATTTTATTTCTGCCTGACGGTTTTGTTTCAGTTTGAAAAAATTTTCATACTTGTCAGACCGAAAGTCTGACATTTTTTACCTGTCGTAAATTTTTTACATATACTAGAGTAAGACACGGTAAACTTTAATTATCGTCTGGGAAAGAGTCGAGAATTCCTGTCTCACCTATTTAACACTTAAAAGGTTTTAATTACAGAGGAAAGGTCGTAGTTGTGGCCGCCCGCCTTACCGAACAATTGAACAGGTAACACCTGCATGATGCCTTATCAGGTACCAAACGATTTAATCAGTTCACCGACGAACGATCTGCGTGTCAGTTTTACCTGTATACACAGTAGGTACGAGTCAAATAATGCAGGAAATCTTTTCATTTTATCACATCAAAAATCTCTTAAGTCATACTTCAAACAAGACAAAATAATCGTAAACACTGCCGGTAAATGAGGTGATATCGCCACAGCTTGCATATATACATGTACAAAATTGTGAAGACGTAGGCCTGCGCACCTGTCCACACTCTTGAAAGCTGTGTACGAGTCAAATGGCTATTTTGATTTTATATATAAAAATAACGAGTCTCTTTCGCATATCTTTATTATCGGAAGCATTTAAAAGAACTCCGAAGCTTTAGTTCGTCATCGCTATCGAAAGTGCAGCCAAGGCTCGGACGCTTAGGTGAAGTCTAGTTGTACAGCGCATCGTATTAAAAATGAGAAAGAAAACATTTAATTGCTTGATTCTCCGTCCAAATAGCTGTTTCTTGCCTACAGTTTACGCATTTCTGTGCTTCAGCCACCTTTTTAGTTTGACAGAAAGCAATGCGCGCTTCATACGACCTTTTTATATGCGCACCTTGTACATCATCTACACCTAGCATTGCCATGCTGGAAACAGCAGAGGACTGTCATGACCCCTGTGGCGCGCGGTTCCTGTCATGCGCACTTCGTATTTCCGCAAAAGATGAAAAAGGTTAATAGTACGTGCGTATACAAACACTGATCCAAATGTGGATAATTTAATAGTGCGTAGGGTGACTGCATTTTCGAGGCAGCCTGAGGGAGCATGATTGTTTTGATTGCAGTGAATGGTAGTGAGTCAATTGAAAGTACACTGGACTTATCATGTACAACCACCTCAGTGCTCTGAAACACATTTTTAATCAACTGGCTTGTTTTCTTGGGTATGAAAAACAAGTTATTGTGATTTTACTAAACAAAAGAAAGCAGCAGTGCGCCATATGAAAAATCTTGATTACTTCACACCTGGCAGTAGAAACGAATGAATTTTTTTAGCATATAAAACGTCTACTGATTTACGTAATTATCAACAACGGACGCCTCTCTTCATAGCTTTGGGTTATCAGTGTTCTGATGCTAGTAGCATGAGTAGAGAAAAACAGACCAATAAAAATATATGTAAGACAATAAGATAAAAATTAAAGGGAAATAAAAAAATTCCCATTTGTACGTTTACTTCATCCGCTTTAACCTCAGTTGAAATCTACTCTTCGCGTTTTAACATTGTTATAAGTCTCTGTGGTCACTGGCATCCTTTCACATCTCCCAATCGATCTAGTTTATTTTTACTCGAGTACAAAATCCGGAAGCGAGTATTTTGTCTGGCGTCTCAAAAATGTCTATATTTAAGTTTATTTTAAATAACACAACATAAACAGATTGCGACTACGTTCGCAGCGTCCACAGGCTTTTAAAAATTGAAAAAGAAAATCTGTGACGTCTTTTGCCGCAGGTCATAATTTTTAGTTGTTTGATGCTTTCTGTAATATTTTAGCCATTTATAAAATCTTCAATTCAGTTAGGTCTACATCGATGATTTGTGAGACGACAGGATACGGTGAATTGTTTTAGACGAAGCACGGAAAAACTGCATTTTTTTAGAAAGTAATTTGCAAAACCTTCGCCATCAGACATTGTGAAATAACTAGCTAGAGGTTGAGGACAAATGTGTCAATGAAATAAATGTACATCTCGTAATACCGCTTTAGCGCGGTCTAATTTTTTGTTAGTAGGCCCTATTAATAACGTGCGAATATTGTCCAAAAGTTATTTTAAAAATCTTTACTTTACTTTCCATACTAGCAAGGCGTGAATCTGAATTTGTTTACACAAAACGCTAGCTTTATAATCATTTTCTGTGACAATATGTTTTGAAAAGCAGAATTTTGCCGTCTTTCTGTGGCATATACACTGTAGCCTACATGTAGGCCCTATAAACTTTGGTCGTTTTCGGCAATTCATTGGTATGGCTGCGCGTACAGCAGCAGTGTGCCATGCATAAACTTCATCAGTTGGGTGGACTATTACGAACAAGAGGGAAAAGTAGGTCAATTTACGACCAAAAAATTGAAAAGGGAGAGGGCCAGTTAAAAGCTTATTTAGTAGGCATGACTAAATAAACAACTCTTTAACACCTTTTCAAGTAGACTTTATTATTACCACATATTTCATAATAGATTTGAATACCTTGAAACATTACTTCACAAAACACCCACCCTCCCGTCCTCCACCAACGATTTCTGACCAGTATTTACAATTTCTTACTTTTTAAATTCTAAAATAGTGCGCTTTAAACAATTCGCCAGGCTGAAACAGTTCCAAAGGTGGCAGCCCCGTTCAAGACGAGATCAATTCAAGTCTGAAAATGACAATACTTCAGCAAGCATACTGGCTGCAATTAATGCCTCATTTCGATTACGTTTTCCACGTTATTGATCTCAGTCTGATTTTAGTACTTAAACAACGAATATTCTTTCATGTTGCTAGTAGATGATTTCTATTTCCAAGTTATTTTTCTCTCTTTTTTACAATGCACATACCCCCCAACTTTTAGTTGCAAAACAAACATTGTTAGCATAAATTAAGGAATACTAATCCAAGAGGTTGGTCAAATCACTAACTGTTATCCCTAGCCTAAATGTCCATTTTGAATAGAATGTCTAAATGCAGTTCACACATCCAAAATATAAATAAATAATTCAACACTTGCATTGAGCATTGCCTCTTCAGAAGGCAGCTTGTTCTTATGGAGTAAACTTTTTTATGAACTGGGTTCAGTTTTGGACTAAATTTTATATCCAATTTATCATCAGTAAAACAATGAATTATGGAACAGATTTAAAGGTTTCCTCACCTTACAAAGTGACTACCATGCAATCATCTAGTAAAATAATAATAATGATGATGATAATAATTATTATAATGATAATAATAATAATAAATTGTACTAAAGTATATTACAACCTTTTCCTTCACATAAGAATATGGCATTTTATCTTACATCTGATATTAACTCACATAATAATAGTGCAATAACACTCATCAACAACAGCAAGCAAAAAAGCCTCTACTTTTTTAATTTGGCAAATCAAATACCTGTAATCCAAGGAACAGAGAAAACAAACAGTACACCCTTCTACAAATAAACAGAAAAGTAAGAATTTTAAAAAAAGATTGCACTTAACAAACGTGTGGCTTTTCTCTTTCTGATTTAATTCTTTCAAATACAATTCATACCCCCTCTAAACAAATATATGCTATTTATCAATTTGATTTTAAGCAAAAGTTTGGAACCCAAGAGAAAGCAATTAAGTCTACAAGAGAAAGCAGAACTTAAAATGCAGTTAACAACCATACTTATTTAAATTTGATAATGAACCCCAACACCAGCACGTAATATATCATACCAGTTTGTACAGCGGTTGTTACATAGCACCTAAAAATTGATATAGGTATTTGCTTAAACATGTAGTACCTTTACTGTCAGAGGCCATTGAGAACTTATACCAGCCAAGGTATGTCATTTCACACCTAATTTACTGAAAACCCTTGTGAAGAAATATTGACCCCCTACCTACACTTAAAAAGTTGTTGAGCTATATAATTAATCAGTCAAAAGTAGTTCTTTTGCAAGACTGTAGAACAAGTTTCTCCACACTCTGGGTGACTGCCAGTCATTGCTTACCGCAAATAGCTTTCCAATCAGATAATTTTAAAAGCGGCATTTTTCTATCGTTTCCTTAGTCCCTTGAAAAGTTTTTTCCATGGTTAAATGTGATTCAGATGCAATTCTTTGTAAAAAAGCTTTAACCAATTAGATGAGAAATTTATAATCTCTTAATGAAACTAAATTGCAGTCATTTTCAATTTCTGATTAATGCAATGAAATATTTGTAAATCACAAACAAGCATGTGGCCCCCATACAATGTAATTGTTGATATTCGTATTCACAACTTTTCAGAAGTTTTCAGCACATGTGGGGATAATAAACTCATAGAACAAGAGAAAAAATGAAACAAAAAAAGGCAGTCATATCTATGTTACCCAACAAGGCAATAAATCCTTAACTCACATTAAATCTTTTAACAATGACAAATATACTACTACCCCCCAATAGCACTCTGTACATGTGCAATAATATTAATGCTTGATATCTAATGCATGATGTACCTATGAATTTATTTCTTAGATTTCTTATTTAAACATGGGAGAGTCAATGATTATCCAAGTGAAAGTAGTGCCATTCTGAATATACTTCAAAAGTTAAAACTACAAGATTATTTCTAACTGTCAATATAATTTTTTAAGCAACAATGTATAGCAAAATATTAGGTAAAGGTGCTTATAACTACTGTCACGAGAATAAAACTTCATTTAGAGAAAAAAAGGAGTAATTAATATTTCATACATGTTATTGTTAATTACAGAAACCTCCCATAGTTTTCACAAATCAAGTTCCTAACTGAGTTGACAGCTCAATATTCCATGTGAAATGAAAGGTGCAGCTAGGGTTACTTTGACCCTGTCTTATCTTGGTTGCTGTTCAGAAGTGCTGCCATCTACAGTGGGACTTTGGTCTCAGGCGCAGGGCCCGTGCCGTTAGACTCTTGCTGTTCAGTGGCTGTGTCAGTCAAGGCTTCGTCAAAATTGGTCTCTGATTTACTGCCGGTCACTTTGGCCTGAAAAATAGAACATCATATTGAAAAATGTTAATTTTTGACTTAAATAATTAGAATATGACATATAGTGCCTGACTTTGTATTCTTAATCTTGTTTCATTAATGATTTTAAATGTTTTTTTTAGTTGAACTATTAATAAAACATGACTCTAATAGTCTTACAACAGCCATGATACCATTGTAAGTAATTACCACTTTTCACAAAATATCTCTAACTCGATAAATGGTATAACTTTAAAGCCAAAAAACATCAATTTAAATAAATGTAATACTGGGCCAACTTTGACAGGAAAAACATCATTTTTCATTTTTGCTTTAAGTAAAACCTAGTCTGCACAAGGGTCCTCATTTTCTTTTTCCTTGTTAACTCAAATTAATGTGACAACCCTTTCGGAATTCTTTATCTCTTGCAAAAGAAAATACAATGATAAAATGCAGCCTTAACCCATGACTGCTTTCGCAGATTTTCATTATTCAGCTTGGCACATTCACTTAATATTTCACCTAATTAACTATATTCATAATTAGCTTATTGTATAAGTCTGGGGGCAGAGCTTTTGTAATCAGCTTTGAAGTAAAATATTATCAATTCTGAAAATAATTCTTCAAAACAGGGTCTTTTCTCCACAGTATATTCCTATCTGATGAGTTCTGTAATTTTTGAATGTGGTTAATTATTTTATATTACTTGATAATTAAATGTATATATACTACAACTATATACAAGTACACTAATGCTTCAATCACTTCACACATACAAAATAAATTTAAAAATAATTATTAAAATAGCTAGCTGTTATAATAGTAAAAATGCACAACACAACCTGAATACGTCATTTTTTTAAAAATGAAAGTACACTCCAACACTTTTTTTTTTACTTAATTCTATTTCAGAATGTAGCATAAAAACAACAATTATCTCTATTAAAAGTGAAAATAAATGGGAAAGGGGGTCAAAGACATTTTGTGTTATCATCATTTTTTTCTATCCATGCAATAATGAGGCTAAATACATTAAAATTAATATAACTTATTTCCAATAAGTTTTAACTATTAATGATTAAAAAGAAATTGCCACAAGACAACCAAAACTGTTGAAGCAGTTATTATGTAGTCCAAGGTTGTCTTTGATCAAGAAAAAAAATCTCAAAAAGAATTCTATTTGGCCAAAATCATTGAGCAGTTTGAATAATTCGATGAAAAACTGCTGTATTTGAAATACAAGTCTGGCCATCAGACCCTGGACCTTGATCACAAGACTAAGACCTTTGGTCACTTTGGTGGCCAGCTGAGAAGTAATGCATAAACACACCTTAAATTGATGACAGCATATTTATTAAATGATATATCATCAATGCTAGGAAAATAAAAGCTATAGACTGCACACAAGTATAAAATCACTATCAACAGTAACAACCTTTTTTTTTACAATACCGCCATTTATGTTTTACTTTATAGGTTCGTATGTCACTTTCTCAGTCTATAAAAAAAAAAAAAGAAAAAAAAAAGATTTTAAATTGCAAGAAATACAGTGATATCTCTTAAATCTTGAACAATTAGTTAACTATTTCGGTAAATATTCTTTTCTTTCATGGTCGTATGGTGCAGATGAGAAAATTCCAAAAAGCATTTAGTGTTCAAGGCCACACCTTGGCATTTTAAGTTTAAAATTCTTAATGATGAATGCATTAATTAACAACAAAAGGTCAGAAAATTCAACATAGTAATCAAGTCTGCCTTTACACTTGTTAAGTAACTAAACCTGATAAACCTAGAAATAATGAAACGTTCAAAATTAACGGTGATCACCTCTTTCAAGGATTAGCTTTAAGTTAACACTTATCTAATGAGCACATTGAAACTCAGATTAACCTTGATCTACACATATTTTACTTTACGTTCATTGATGAATTTACCGCTCATTACAAGAGTTATACAAGTAAATTAAACTGACAGCTTTATTAGATATTCATCCGATTTCTCAAATTGAAAATATGCATTAGCACAGCAGACTTGATTTCTGACAGGAAATAGTTAAATATTCACTAAGTACTTTCCAATGTCAAATTTCACACAATAAATTTTCAATATTCAAATTAGAATTAATAGTTTTTAAATATAAACATTTGTTACAAAATCATTCAATCATACAGCTCCAAAAAATTCAACTTATAAAAATATATTAGCCAGAAGTTATATTTTACTTTTCTACCAACACGCAGAACCTTTCACTTTTCAAACAGTAGAAAACAGCAGAAATCAGCACAAAGGCAATCAACTGTTTAACTCAACTCCATTGAAAGCTACACAAAATACAAATAATTTACAACAACAAGACATTCCACTAAGTTTTTTTATCATGACCTCACACACACACACACACACACACACACACACATTGCATATAATCTACTCTGGCTTTCCTGAGCTTCAGATTGAAGTAAGTTGACTTCTTCATTTTCAAACCTTCTTATGTGCAGAATTATCAGACTCAACAATCAGATGCAAGTTTGATAGAAATTTGCAGTCAACCAAAGGTGCACATCCAGTCATCCACATTTCGTTCTTCTGTAGAAAACTTAAGGCTACAAGACCTATCTAACATTTGTAATTGGGATGATTAACTTCAATCGAATAAAACTTAAGTGAGAAGTGACAAGCAGGCTCATGTAAAGATGGCCGCCATTGCCTCTCAGGATACATAGCACAGCAGATGGTCTTTGCAATTTTTTTCAAGAATTTTATTCTAATTTTCAACTATTTTTCAAATTCAATCAACCCTATGATTGCCTCGAACAGTTCATTAAAATCTTATCTATTAGTCAAGGAAAATATATTAGCCTAGGACAAAACAAATTTTTATCATCTAATAGACCCAACTTAATTATCTAAAACTAAAAACACTTGACAACATCAAAAAAAGCAATTTTCACAAATAATACAATCAAACAGATGACTACATAAGGAATAAAAACAGCATCACACAAATTAAGTGGCATAAGAAGAAAGAAAATCCAGTGTTTATTTCTAATGCCCTACCTCCCTCCCCATGTATTAATACATATCTGACTGAATTCTCAAGAATAATGTACTAATGTGAGCTACGTAACATAATAATAATAACTACAGTAATTATAATAATTAAAATAACAAATTTTAAATAAAAAATTTAGAATGCACAGCACATACAAAAATTGAACTAAATTGACGACGGCTACAAAAGGTATGGTAATAACGCGATCTTTTCAATGGGGGATATTGTGAATTTTACATATACTGTATTTTTTAAGTCATATTTTCTTAAAATCAGGACATTCCTTTTGAGTGGTACCAGCAAAATTAAAGACCTGGCTACTCTTCAGTTTTATTCGATGTAGTGAAAGCACCATAAATGCTATACAGAATTTTTGTGCTTAGAAAATTACGTGTCTGAAAGTCTGATAATTTTTTGCCAATTGAAAAGATCGAGTCCTTACTGTAACACCCACTCACCATGTGTTTGGACCAAAAAATTGATCCTAAAGATTGCGAGCGCTGGGCAGGAAATACAGCAATATTAATGGGCATGCTCGCCACAGTCACATGAATTTTTTTATCAAGTGGACTTTAATTTTGACCATATACATATATAATGGCAAATGTCAAAAAAAAAAAAAAAAAAAAAAAATCATCCTGTCGTGGTGTATTTTACATGAATGCTGGATATGTCATGCCTAGGTCTTTTGTTCTTGACATTCGCCATTTTCAAAGTCAGATACACCACGAGTCAGCAAGAGCACGTGGCATCCACATGTTTCGCACATATGTATGTCACATACACCAGAGTCACTGCCTCTTGGAAGACTAATTAACTATTTTACAGTAATTACTTATAAAATTCAAACAAAATGAATTCCTATTTTTTCCTGAATAGCTCTTTTTTTTATAATACTCAAATCTGGTGACTAAATATTTCTGAAAAGTTAGTTGGTCTCTGGCCAAAAAGTGTGTGCACGTTCTTCTTTGCTAACAAAAAACAAGGAATCTTGAAGAGGTAAAATTTTGGAATGAGTGGCACGTTTGAAATTAAAAGTAATTACCGTAATATAGTACTGGTTTCCATTAACAGAAAACTTTATTTCAAAATAAAACAACTGTTGCACATGTTAGCGGTAACACATGGCACCAGACAAGTTAACTAAAGGGCTTATTTCATAAAAAGTCAAATGTTCTTAGGGAAAGCTTTTAGACTGCTATAAATGAACAATCATTTAGGCAAAGTCAACTCTGTGATATTTGTTGTCTAAAGGATCTTTAAAATAATAATTGGCCCACACCCAATAGATGTTTCTGAGATACCTGTACAGGCTACTGTAACTGTCACCAATGAGATAAAAACCTTGTGGAAATTTGCAACAGGTGGTTATTTCAAAGACAAATCAACTTTGTAGCAAAAAATTTGACTGAAAAACTGACTTCAAACTTTTTGTGAAAAAAGCCCCAGCTGGAATAAACAAGGTTTTCTAAACTTTTTCCAGGATGCAATCAATTGTCACATTCCATATTAAATGATGTTACCATACAACTAACCTTGACATTACTGTAAGCAGAGCCCACTTTCTCTTCTATTGACTTGAAGGTCTGGGAATTCCTGGAAAAAGATTGCTAACCACATTAAGGAAGGTTTTCTCCTCTCTCTCTCTCTCTCTCTCTCTCTCTCTCTCACACACACACACACACACACACACACACTAACAACAATAGTAAACTGATCACATACGAAAGTGAAATCTAAGTACTAAACAGAATATCCGGGAAAACCACCATCTTTTGCCAAACATCCACAACATAATAAGTTTCAAGTGTTTAAATTTTGACACTATTACCTAGAAAGCTCCAAGGGGTCAGTTAAGGAAACTCGTACCTTAGGTCTGACAGTTTCTTTCCTGCAGCATTGGCAGCCTGACTGGCTTTGGTGCCGACATTCTTGAAAGCTTCATTCGTCTTCTGGTAGCTGGAAAGTTAACAAGAACAGAATGTGTAGTGATAATGATATTCATATCCTTCATGCATTTCATGTTACTCGCTAAATGTATTATCAACACCTGAAAATATTTTTGACTGTTCCTGTGTATATTTTCTTAAACAAGCAGACAAAAAAATTCAAAAGCGAATGTTTTTCATGTAATGTCATGTAAGTCATGTAAATATGTTGATGTTTCAAATTGCTGCATTTCTCAAGCTAGATTAAATATTAGACACAACAGACATATCAAAGAAAAACTCTGAATTTAAATAAGCACACATAAATATATAAAAAACTTTTCATACAAAAGGAGTTTAATGATACATTTTGTTTTTGCATACATAAGCACGATAATAAATTGCCACCAAATGTCCCTTGCAGGATGAAGAGTTACGTAAGTAGTAGGATAATAAATAATCTGACCATGAGATTAAGATCTTATGAATAACCTCAACCCTTGAAATATGTTAGTATGTGCTACAAAGATGGAGTGCTCTTATGCAAAACATTATGAAAGCTAAGATGCAATCTTATAAGGTCAGTGTGTACAAACATGCACCAAGTATAATTGTTATTGTTATAGTAAACAGCATGGGTATTGGCAACAATCAAGGGAAAATAATATCACTAAAAGTTCTTTCCAAGGAAAGCTTTATCTGGAATAAGTTTGCAACCTATGTCCATGTCAATCAAAATGTATAATTTTAAGACGCATCATTTAAGATAATTTATATAGTAACCACCAAGTTTTGTTTCTCGAGTAATCAAATTATCATCAAATCATCAAAACTTTTGGACAATAATAAATACATGGGTTCTTCTGGACTGACAAACAGAATAAAAAGACACCAAGTGACGAAAAAAAATTCACAAAAATTTCATTGGCCTGGCCACAATTTTGTTGTAATTTGGCATCAGGCCAATATCAGTGGAGGAGGATTTCATCACAATCATTGGCAACCTCACTGGTGGTTCTTAGTTCAGCTCAGTGTGGCAGCTGAGAGTGCCCCGTCACAACTAACACAATCAGTTTTTCCCATCTACCGCAATAGGAATGCAACATGAAAAGCTTAATTCATAAGAAGGCCACTTATAACACATTGATCATTCCCCATGTGGCCACTTAGCACATATTAATAACTCTCCATATGGCCACTTAGCACATAAATAATTCTCCACATGGCACTTAAAACACATTTCATAGAGCAAAGTCACATTACTAGAGTGCGAGCAGTGCATTTTACAAGCATACCAGACCCAAACCAAAGTTAATTGATCTCTTCATCACTAGTCAATCATTTATAATCAAATTAAAATCATCTGAATAAGTCACAATTAATGCCCCCCCCCCTTTTTTTATACCTCATGTGACAACAGTTTACATAAGACTGCTTAGGAGCAGTCACTACAGTTTTGATGTCTTATTAATAATTAAATCTAGACCTTGATCACCATTTGCGTTAAATTCCAGTGTTGAAATTAAAATCAACTTTTATCTACACCATCAATTTATATTAGTTTTATGCATGTCTGTGTGTGTATTAAGAAAATGCAAGACTATATCAGGAAAACTGTAAAAAAGCATACATTAACATACATCAAAACAGTGGGTGTGTCTTTAACTTTAAACTGAAACATTAATAGAGCACAAAAAAGTGCAATGCAATATGGATTTTTAAAGGGGGGGGGTATCCTCAATATTCTTTTCCACAAACTGGGCTAAATCTTGGTGAACAAAGACCAAAATGTGCATGGCATGTTGTATTTATATTAATCAGATGCTTAAGACATTTGCAAAAAATTTTTTCACTTTTTTTAACCAATTCAAACCTGATTTTAAAAGCAAAGCAAAACACTAAGTGCATTCTAAAAACACTTTTGCAACATAGCATCAATTGTCAAACACCGTAACAGTTATTTCAAAATTGGAACAAATTTTAGTGGAAGCTGCTAAATATTATATTCAACAAATTGTTAATATAAGATTTTGTGAAACTTTTCATTATAAAACTGTCAAAAAGAAAAAAAAAACAAACTAGAAACGGTTAATTGGCAGGCAAAGTACTCACGCTCCCGACGACGTGATCTTATCTTCCCATTGGTGCAATTTCTCATTTGTCTTTTTGTACCTGCGTAAAAAGAATAGGAGAGGGACCCCGCACATTAATTTGCGTTTCATTAAAAATGCCCAAATTGGAAAATAAAAAGAGGAAAACCACTCAATGCTCACTCTTTGTAACATTAGTGGCAGAGGCGGGACGGACATGACACAGAATAATATGAAAACTGTGTCGCGTTAGTGAAAGTCTGGAGCATTTACCACCGATGTACATTGTGTGACATTGGTGGCAGCGGGTGGGATGAAGAGTTCACATGCAAAGCATCACGTGCCAATAATAAAAGAAATAGTGGTGACAGAGACTATGACCCCAATGTTAACTAAACCCAGATTGTTACAAAAGGGCTAAAGCATGCAAGTATAGCATATCACTATAAAATGAAATGTTTTCCGTACTGAGAACAACAGAAAAGATAAGGGAAACTAAAGGCTGCTACGAAAAAAATTAAGACATAATCCACGGAGGCCTGACACTGTGCAAGATATACACATATCTGCATGCATATACACTGATACTTAATACTAGTACTGTAACATATATATTCTAGCTGACAGTTACTAGTAATTAGCTGATCCTAATATTCCACCTAAGAAGCAATATTTCATGCCAGCTGAAACAACATGATCGCCCAAAAACCACCTGAAAACCTCATTTGGCTATACAACAATGAACTAGATTTTTAAAACAAATTATTCTGAATAGATAGAGATAAGCATAGACAAAAATAAACATGATAACAAAATTTGAAATAAAAATCAAGACAAGAGGCCAAAACTCTGTAAATTATGTACCCAATATTTCTCTACAAATTTAGGTGCTGGGACCCATTTCAGAAAAAACTTGAGGCCCAAAATATGACTTTAACTTCGAGTCCAAATCTTTACCCTACTCGGACCCTATGTGAAGCCTTAAGCCCAATGAATCAGAGGGGTTTGAAGACTGTTCATTGAGGGGATTGTAATCAAGCGTTTGAAATCCAACTTAAATAATTTTTCATAATATAAGAAGACAGCAAATTTAACTTATTTCGACTCAAATGAGTGTCCTTACTAAGAATAGCACCTAAACTGCCTGTATGCAAATTGAAGATTTTTACTTCATGTGTCTGACTTTTGACATATCCATTTTTTGGTTGCACTATAAGATGACAGCACAATTTTAGAAACATCTATTAAAACTGACTTAGTGCATTATTACCTACAGCACCACCTGGTCACAATATGACAAATTTCTATACACTCAAACTTGGGAGTGGTCATAAAGCACTTTGTAAAGCATGAATAGTCTTCTATTCTCTCTTGAAAAATTTCAGGCCATAAGTTAAGAATCAATGCCTTGGAGACACTTCTGGTACTCAAATTTTTATTTGTGTTGAAAGTCAATATTTTCTACAGATATTTTTGTATTCAAAACTATATATATATATATGCATTGGAAGTAGAAGACAGAAAGAGCTTTGACTGGGCAAAAATAAAACTTGGCAAAATGAGTTTTATTTAAAGCACGGAAAGTTTCTTGCAGTTAGTTCATGTTTTAAAATCACAGGCCTAAAAGCAATGCATCGTGCTACCAATGTATCATTGAATAAATATAATATTTAGTGTTTAGTGTGTGTGAGTAGCTATGCATTGGAGAAGAAAATCCGAAATCATTATTCTGGTTAATTCTTACGTGCTGTGAGCCAGATATATATTAAATACTACTAGGAGTAATGACTTCTTCCTGCACGTGCCCTAATTTTAGACAGTCCCCTATCATGCATGCAAGGAGCATGCTCTAACAGCTTGTTGTGCACAGAGTCTTCATGCACACGTACGCGCATGCAGGAGTACTCACGTCTCAGAGTGGGTGATCTTGTCTTCGAGTTGGTGCACTTTCTCGGACGTCTTTTTGTACCTGTTTTATGGATCATCAGAGAAAGAAGTTATTAGCGCCCGAGACCACAAGAAGTCACTCACTAATTGGTTTCATCATGGCTTTGGCGCCATCTCAGTGGCCACCTGAATCTCACCCCTGCCAGGTGCCCACCAGGTGGCTTCAAATCAAGACAGAACTGCACCCATACTTTAGTGTTCATAAAAGGCATCTCTTTTTAGTGAGAAAACCAGTTGCAGGACAACGAGGGCCTTTTCCATACAGTTTCAATAATGCTCTGCTCAATGAAGTGCGAAAAGAAATATTAGAGTCTTTTGATAATTCTATTTTTTTCCACATTCAAACTTTATCCAATATTCAGTAATTCTGAACATTCTCCAGTAGTAAAGCGACCCTCATGATAGCATGCATTCTCTCATGCACCAGACACATTTCTATCAAGCAGAATAGAGCAAAGAAAGAATGAAGCCTTTTTAAGAAGTAGAAACAAGACATAATTCACATTAAAACCAATTAAAATCGTAATGATTAAGAGCATCAAGCAATCAGTTGGACTGATTTATCAGATAATTGACTTCACATAAAAAGCGAGCCAAGCTCAAAGAAAAAAAAAACACAACCAGTGAATAAAAAAAATATTCCAACAGATTCTTCTATTAATCTTCTCTATACATTTAAGCAACACTGTTCATTAAACCCATCAAAATCTGAAAGAACTTCACAATAAATTTAAAAATACCTTCGATTTCAAAAATGCCTTATATTTCAATTCCTTTTTTTTTTTCCCAATCCAATGTTACTTTACAATGGCCACTTACGCGTCAGACTCCCGAATGCTGGTCAGCGTGCTGGAGACATCTTGTTTGAACTCCTGCAGCGTCGTGATTCCAAGTTTCTTCTTCAGCTCGTTAGCATGGCGGACCTTCGCACCGAGGACTGATCTCAATGTCTGAATCTCTTCCTCTGTCTAGAAAAAGATGAAAGAGATAATTTAAAATCCTTAACTTTAAGGAACATGGAATCATCATTCAAATACAAAAAGGTTTTTACATTATTTATTTTGATTTTGGAAATAAAAAAATGCACTATACCTGATCACCAAATCATGATTTAAACTAAGAAAAAAAATATTTTTTCGAATACATGCAAAAATTAAAATGACACTAAGAACTTTCAAGTCATTAAAAAATTGAATGACTAGAAAAAAGAAATTACAAGACACAAGAAAAAGCAACATTAATTCTCCCAAAGTTTAATCACATATACCTTTGCCAGCTCTACCCTCCATTCTTCCTTCTCTTTCTCTACTTCCGCAGGATCTTTAGTCGGCGATGTGTCTGCGATACCGCTATCTGGGGTGGCAAGTTCGGCAGTGTCGTAGAAGTGGTCGTCTAAAGTGAAAATTTTAATACCATATTGAGTATAATTTTATTGTTGCCATGGACACATGACAATAATTTACTGAGGTTTTTTCATTAAAACAACTATTCACAGCTCAGACTAGTCACTTTCTTCTTACGATAATACAATTTTTCGATCAGCTGCAATGTTACTGATGAAACAGGATGTGATGTCAGAGGTCAACACGGCTCAATGTTACAGCTAGGCATAAATAACATTATGAATATAATGGTGGACATTTCAGTGACTCTTTGATTTCACTTCAATAAAACCTACCAGTGCTTGAGCTATGATAATAATAGACATACTACCAAAAAATTGAAATAATAATTTTTAGGAAACTTGAATTTGCTTTCCTTCCCTGTCTCTACATGGAATCAAGCAAAAGATTTTTCAGTTCAAATTGGAGTCTAGGGCCACCCACTGGAATCAAACATACAAGCAATCATCGAGAAAAGCTATAAAAATCTGATATCAAGTATTTGTTAACTATGGCAAGGTGGTCTTATACTATACTTTAACCTGAGCCTAATACCACACTGATAATTTCTAAAATCACCTCCACAATCTCCTGGAAATACTGACCTGAAAAAAGAAATCAATTTCCAGGAAGTGCTGACCTATATAAAATAAAGAAATCAATTATGTTCCCGTAGGCGAAACTATTTCCAGATTTGTCACTCAGAATATTACAATGGCTCAAGTAGCCATGATAAAGTCATCAGCTGGAACAAAATCAATAACGTTATGTCATGCTGGTTCAGTCATCTCTCCCCAGAGACTCCAGACACTGAGCAGTATTCTCTAAATGGGAAAAAAAGAATGTTATTTTTTATTATTATTAATTTTTTTTTTGACTCAGAGCCATTCACAGGCTTCAAATTACCTCAGGACCTGTTGGGTGGGTGGGGTATTTAAGTGTTTCTGGGGTGAGAAATGCACTGGCTCTAGTTTCATGAAAAAAAGTCAATTCCATGACTTAGTTGACTAGGATTACCGTGAGAGTGCTGTTATACTGCTCCTAATAGGGTAAGATGTGACCTCATGACCATGTAACCTTGTCTCATTATAAAACATTTATGATGACTTCAAAAATACAGAATCTGTAAAATTTACAATTTTTCCCCCATTAAAAAGTTTAAGTAATTGCCAAAGTTTGCTTCATTTCTCCGTCATGGTAGTCCTATTACAGCATGCTTATATAAAACATAACATATTTCACAAAAGTTGTGGATCTTTTATAATACTGTTATCACAGTATCACAGTGGGGCAGAAAACTTAGCGAGCTCCACCATTCGGTTTTACGATAAGTTTTCTATGGCGGGAAATAATCCCCACCTTTTATGATCTACAGAATTAAGCTATAAGCTTTGCATAATCCAACATAATTGGCAGCTCGCGATTGCAATCCATTACGTAGGAAGTGACTCCATTGCCCCATTACTATATCCACTATCAACCCTTAGATCACAAAATGAACAAAAATTTGAAATATGAATATAAAGTCTTAGCTAATGATAAAAATTTTATCTCCATTTTGAAGGCATCGCCTTGTGAAATTCAATAAACAAAAAACAGCTACTAAGCTTATATTCCACAGGAAATGAAACCACAGACCAAGTGAGATGAACTTTGAATCCAGACAGCGGTTAAGAGCCCTTTTCTACTTCCAATCCATCACTGTGAAAGAGGATGACGTGACTACAAATTTTTTTTTTCCTACATCACACACTGTAGTTATGAGTGTCTCTTAAACAAATTGTAGAGATTAATTTATGAAGTAAAATTAAAATTCAGGATGTAGAACCACTTTTTTTTTTTTTTTTTGCCACTCACAACATTGGGCATGGAAAGCAAGGCCCAAGGATGTGAAAGAGAGAGAGAGAGAGAGAGAGAGAGAGAAACAAGAACAGATAAAAACCTTTTCTCCATTCTGAACACTGAAATTTCTGCCAAGTAATTAACAAGACTTATCCACCTCACCTATCTCAGCGTAACTTGTCCCTCCTGCTTCAACCCCAATGGGATGTCCAAGATCAACACTCTCCATTATGGACAGAATCCACGATATTTCTCCCAGTTCACTCTTGATATCAGTGAGTCCCAGTAAAGACGCTCGAATTGAAATTTTTTCTTCAACTCTGTCAAAACTCACAGTAGATATTTGCTCCAATAAAAGAGTGGAATATTCATTTTCAACCCCAAAAGCTTTCTAATTGTTAACACAGAGCCCTCTTCACTGGCCCAGGGAATATACTTAATGGAATCTCCTCCAAGTTCACGACAGATATTCAAGCTCCAAAGAACAGTTCAGAATAAATTTGTTTTCAACCTCGAAGCTTCACAGTTTCCTCTCATATACTGTACTGTTGTCTGGGTAAGAGCAAAGTAATACCTTGGGTCAAAAAGCAAAAATTAATAATTAAGCTTTAAAAAATATTAGAATGACACCATGAATGCTCCAGTCACTATATGTCAGTATTATTTGACTATTCCAGATTAAAAAACCCTGCCTGGTACTAGTGATTTGATCCTACAGCTCAGCAAAATTACATCTGATGGTACGCAGAATACAGAGACCTTAACCTCCCAGAGACTTCACTTTTCACGGTATAATCCTACGAACGAACGCAACAAAACGCCTTTCAGGCAGATCACGTCAGATCAAATCTCCACAATCAAACAGAAATTCCCTCAAGCAGAATCCCTTGGATAGAAAGATACGGAAAATCCCTCGAGCATAGAGGCAAATCTTGCTGATATAGTCAAGTCTCCTAAGCTGGACCTAATTCTGTCCTGCGGTCATCCATGTAATAATGACCTACCACAGGTATTAAATCGCCCTCACAAAACCAAACCAAACACCCCAGCTTCTTAATCCATCTTTCATTTATATTTACAACACACAAAACACAAAGATATCTCTCCTCCTTCGTCCTGATCTGGCTAATGCAACAATACAGCTAAATGTCAAGTGAAACAGAAGACCACTGCTCAGCGCCAGGCTATCAGTCGGTTCTACTATCTAAATCCCATTACTGATTACTCCATCCGCTACAAGGCCTGGAATATCCACTGCTTGTGAATAATAATGCTGTATTGCCATTACGCATACGTAACTCCCACTGGTTCAGATAGCATTTACTTTATGCACTGTCACGGCTCAAAAAAAATATTAGCTTATTCAATTTTGGTTTTGCAGATTTCTTCTTAATAATGAAGCATATTGGAAGCCTTAAGGGTACAACGGAATACCACCATGGAAAATGTTGTAATACAGCTTTCCTATGAAGAATTTACAGTACCTTCTTTGCCCTTAAATTATTGACGTCCTGCTGCTCAATATTCTGCAGTATTGCTGACCCATTTCAATCATATATCGCTGTCATTGGCCAAATGTGCACATATTACTATATGCCAATGAAAGTGGTTTTCATGAGCCATGTGCCGATTAATATTGTTTAATTTTACTTTTTTTTTTTTTTTGGATAAATTTATAAATGTAATATTACAAACATGTATATGTGCATAAGTAGATAAGCCTTAAAATGCTGCTGTGAATGCATTTAGAGCTCAAATAATATATATATATATATATATATATATATATATATATATATATATATATATATATATATATATATATCTCTGTACTGTCACAATGTTGAACAAATATATATACTGGTCACCACAATGGCTTACAGAGAAACCCCACTGAGCTGCAGACTTCAATAGCCAACATTAGTCTAACTAGTCTCAAAGATGACAGGAATCGGTTCATTAAGTATTTTGAGCAGTCATGTGATGAATAGTCTACATGATGTCAAACCCAAAGGAAGTCCGACAACTTCTTTTCTCATTACAGCCAACTCAATATATATACATGTATGTACGATGTCTGCAATTTATATTATAATGATAAGAAAAGAGAGGGGGCTTAAAATGTTGCTTTAAATTTGCATATCTCATGTTTTAGATAAATTATCAATGAGAAAAATAAAACCCTATGAAATGAAGCAAAGCATAATCACCTTCAGCATCAGGTCAAATAATTGTTATGATATATTGAGCTTTAAAAAATAATCAAAGCAACAAGATTGCAAGAATTTTCTGTCCAACAAAGAGTAACTATCATGACAACTACTTGATTTTTTCACACACACACCACTTTTTCCCCCCCCATCTTTACTTTTACAAGATAAACATCTCCTTTTGAGACACTGTCAAAACTGGAGCCTCTGACTAAAAAGCCAACTCAATTTTCAAACCTACAAAGTAACATTTTAAAGTTTTCCTTAATATAAAAAATTTTTGGAGAAAAAATGCCAATTTGTTTTATGTTAAATTAATTGAGAAATTTCCGTAGCTTGAGATCAATAAGCAGCAGGGAAATATGTATCTGGGCGTCAAGTCAATGCCATCTAGTTGAGGGAACATCGCCAGACAATTTACTGATAAGACACACAATGGGAATGCATGTAGTTCTATTTCAAAGATAGCCTTGTGATTAAAATGAGACAAGACTGGTAACCATGGCAACAACAAAAAGTAAATAACGTTATGGTATACACATGTATATAGTGTCTAAATGAAAAGTTAACGATACTCTACTCAATGGTATATAAAGGGTACCATTGGTATATCAATGAACCCCTGGCTCTGCTCAAAAGGGGGCGCAACAGAGTTTTTGTTAATTTTTGTGCGTAATACAATCATGGCTAAACTATCCAACTCCCTGCCCTACACCAAGCAACAGCCATAACAGACCAGCAACTGTGATGAAATTTTGCCAATCATACCAAAAAGGTCAGCAATTATTTCAAATTCACCCCCCAGCAAGTGTACATAATTTTTCAACTATCAGTGCACTACCTTATAGTTTTTTAAACCTTAATTTCCCTTCAGCCATAGTCATTTTACTAAAATTTTGGCAAAAGTCTATTCAGTCTAAATATACCTACATATCTGTCCAAACACCATAATGTCCACTTTCACATCAAGCTTCACAATGAAATGAAGTTGTCCAGTTTAAGAGTCCGACTAAACTTGTTACTACACAAAAAGGGCACAACTCTCTTGCGCAAGTCTACCACAAGCTCACTTCCTGCGGTTAAAGATTTATCAACTGGCCGTGCCAGGCACGAGTCGCCTGTTAAGTTACTCTTTTTGGTAATAGCTAGATCATTTGTGCTCAATTGCTCAAAACTGTCATTTACAGCAATAACTTGATCTTTTCCATAGGCAAAAAAGATCAAACTTTCAGATACATACTAGTAATTTTATAATCACAAATATCATATTTCAATATCCCATTTGTGGTGCTTGTACTACACTGATAGAACAACAGAGTAGCCTGCTTTTTAATTTTGTAACTACCACTCAGTAAGCTTGTCAAACTTTTAGAAATTATGACTGAAAACTACGGTATCTGTAAAATTCACAATTTATCCCTACTGAGTTAATTGAGTAATTATCAAAGTGCCTCATGTGCCTATAGCTCAAGGGTACAATGCCCAGGGCACCACTGATAAAGGGGCGTGGCTAAGGGATATTTTATGGTGAGTGGATGATAGGAGGGGATGGCACATACGGCACCATGCCTGGGGTTTTCCCCCCGAACAGATGTCGAAGACAGATTTTTATTTACTGTTTCGCACCTAATGCTCCCACACGAGATGACAGTTCAGACTGCTTAGTAACACAATGCCTATGGTTGGATTCACCACAGCGGACTTACAGGTCCAGGGATCAAATATGGCCAACAAACCTGAATGCTTGTCATGTAATCCCTGCGGGGAAACTATTCCGTGTCTGTTAGGGGATTATGCAGCAAGCTTTCAAGTGGGGCGGCCATATTTGATCAGAGGATCTGTTAATCCAATTTTTAGTCAACTTGTTCTGAATGTGATAATTGACAGAGGCGTCAATGAGAGAATTTCCATAGAAGGATACTTTCGCCCTCCAATTGAATTGCCCTACCTTGCTTCTTCTGATCCGCCATTTTGTTCATGGCATCCTCTACGTCCTCTGATCCTTCCACAGTTTTATCGGTGTTTATTTCGTCGTCACTGAAACTCCCCGAGGTATGAACAAGTTTGAGAAAAGAGTGGTAATTATTGGGACTTGTGATGGTTGGCTGATACTCCAAATTGTATTCTTCCTCCTCAGCCTCTTTTGCAGGTATCTTCCTCGTTCGTACACCCTTCGGTTTTGCACTTTCTTTGGAATTGTTGCGATTGAAAATCTTCTGCATTGTATAATACTCCCAAGCAGGCTGTTAAAGACAGCCAATGGTCTCCCTTAACAGTACTTGTCAAATAAATAGGGCGTTTTTATTCCAATGATGACAATGCATCCAAAAAACACAAAAATAAGACTCTGTTGGCACAATTTGGGATGGTCAGTTAGGCCTGATAAAGATGATGAAATAACTTGTTTGTAACTGTTATCTTAAAGATCTAAAAGTTACCTAAAAGACTGCACAGTGGATAAAATAATGTAATGTTATTCATTGTGACCTCTGAGGCTTATGGGATTGTCAGTGTCACATGACGAGGAGGAGTTTGGTCAAACCACGTTTCTGTTTAATCTTGTCTTGTCCTGTGTGACACCCGCCTCTCAAACCTCCCCCACTCTCAGTCAAATGTTTTCAACAATCTATTTAAATGGTGCCTTAGAATTACCCCAAACCTTCCTTTAGAGCATTAAAATGCTTCAATGAAAAACTAATCTTTTGTCCAATCCTCCACAAGTTGTAAATCACTTTTACGTCGTAAACTCGAATCCTAAATCACTTCACATCTTCACATCTCTCTCCTAGATCACGGGACGTCTGGCGGCTTAGTGGTGACCTCTGACCTCAGCCTCTTAGTGGTGACCTTTGACCTTGTGGACACTTTAATCCAGCTTCTATCTGTCCCTCACACCTCTAGTCTAGTGACAACACAATAAACAGTGAGCAGAGGGGGAGGGGACGATGTCCGCAATCTTGGACTGATATAATAAGTATAATGTTACATGTAACGAACCGCTTTTATCACATTATGCACGCTAAAAAATCGGGCTTCCAAATATTCCGTATCAGTATGATTACTGTGATGATGCTCTATAAGAAGCAGGTGACGCTCCAGCGTTGTGGAGAAAATAATACCGCTTCTGCTGGAAAATTCTTCTTTTTAGTAACTCCTCCTCCTCTGATTCCAAATTTTTCTCTCACTTCTCACTGTGTCGCAAAGACTGCTAACCATAAGCTTAACTTGCGTGTCAATAGTCCCAGATTAAGTGTCACATAAAAAGTTGTTAATGCACCTGTTTCACCTTTGACTTCATTGTATGAAATAATGGCCAATCCTCATTTTTAACTGTATCCCCATCTAAATAGTGTCAGATAAGATGAAATCAGTATTATCATCTCAGATTAAGTCATCTCAGTCTGTGTCCTGGATGCTACAAGTTGTGATGTGGCAGAGTTAGTAGAGCAAGGTGAAAGTTCAGTCCTAATCTAAGTTACAGTGGATGTCAAATATTTGGTGACATTAGTCAACTAGAATTAAATACCTATTAGTCCTAAACAAAAGCCATTTCTTTCTTTGTTATAAAACAGGTCAATATTTCATCTAAATGGCCTATTTAAGACTTAAATGTCTAAAAGTGGACTTAAATTTGGTCTTAAATTTTAGCCAAATTTGGGTCTAAAGATTTCTTGTTGAATGGATCACATAGACTAGTTTAGTTTTGTCTATATGTCACCTGTGTCAACCTACTGCTGTGTCAATTATTAAATAACACTTGTTCTGGCTGAAAGCTGTCATCTCAAGGCAAACATTCAAACTACTTACGTCAATAAAGGTCAATTTTACCTAAGGATGGTCGGAAATATGAATATATCATGGACACAAAGCATTACCATTACACTTAATCACTTACTAGTACTAGTAAATGTAACAGATGGTTAATTGTAAATAAATAAACAAATAAATAAATAAATAAATAAATAAATGTGTAGCCCACTGTGATCCAACTCTTCTTTAAATCTATTTACCACTAACAAAACATACAAGGCACATTAAAGAAACCCAGAGATCAAGTAACAGACTTTTCACCCCCAGAGTCGCACCACTGGTCTGGCTGATAAGACATCTGGTGACTCAGTCTCTTCAGTTACCTCTGTACTGGCATCAGGACGCATGTTAACAGATTAACTACTTGGTAAATACAATGACACTTATACTCTCCAAGATAGAAATCTCTTGCTAACACCAGTTTTATTTTTTAGTGTGTCTGTCATGCCACAGGGGGCAGCACTACAGGAGAAGCATCATCCCTAACTTTTGAGATTTTACTGAAAAAGATTAAATTATAATATTTTGTAATTTCACAAGAAGGCCAGACCAGTAACTGGTAGACAAATGACACTGTCATGTGCAAAAGAAATCTCCTGGTGCCTGCAGTTGCATTTTCAGTGTGTTGCCATATTTTGCAAAGTCCACCAATATAGGCTAGGCACTTTAACAAATTTAAAATTTTAATCATAGACCTAGACTTATGATTGTTAATGAAAGCAGGTCACACAGCATCAGCCAAAATCTAAAAGTGCTTATGCAAGTTTGCTGTTAATTTGTCATTATTATTATTATTATTATTTCTATTATTATTATTATTATTATGCTCACTTCAAGATAAAGTGACAACAGTGCACTTCAATAATTTAAAAGTGAATACTGGTCTACCATGTGATAAAATAAATAAAATATTTTATATAATTGGACAACATAAAATATTGGTCTGTTGCAAAATTATTGTATTGTACCCTGTGGAATCTGAGATGGTCAATAGCAATGCACTCTTCCCCAGACATACCATTTGTATTTGTCAGTGGGGGTAACTTTACATCAAGGTATTGCTCAGTAGCACACATCCATGTCCATGTTATGTAAGGCAAGTAAAGCATGGCCTCTGACTTACTCAAGATGCCCTAGATTATATCCAACCCCCCAATATATCCTCCTCTGCTGCTGAGCCACTGTTTGAGGGGCGGGTAAGGGCGGGGTAATAACATGAGAGAAGATATCTGATATTGGGTGTGTTCCTACTGAGGCCTGTACTTTAATTTTGCTTGGTATTTTAGAGGGCAATGCAATATCAGAGGGTGAAGAGATTTAAGCCATATTCAAAACCAAAGTTGATCCACTAACTAACAGATCTACTGATCAAATATGGCCGAACTACTGGAAAACTTACCGCACAATCCCCAGGGGGAATCTATTCAGTGTCTACTAGGGGATTATTCAGCAAGTTTTCAAGTGGGTCGGCCATATTTGATCCGCAGATCTGTTAATCTGAAAATAAATTTGCTCTGAATGCACCCTAACATGTATCCTGTAAAGCAGATAATACCAAGTACCTTGTAATACTCTTGAGTTGCTATTAGTTTTTTTTTTTTTTTTAAGTGCTCTCTCTGTTGGCTGATAAACTTGAGTGTGAATATGAATAATTGTTTTGGGTAAGAAGAGGAAAATAGGTCAAACATTAGCACAAGCATGGAAGGAAAAAAAATTGTATCAACCTGTGAAAAAGACCAGAAGCACTTGTTTATGTAGGAAATATTCCCTTAACATCCTTCTGAACACAAAAGTTCACTTCTTTTACTGTAACAGTTTACTTTGACTTCTCTAGTTGTGTAATACTTAAAAGAATGTCCAAGCTATAAAATTTTAATATTAATCCTCCCTCCTCATCTTTCAATCTATATTTTAATGTATAATCAGCAGACATCCTCAAAAGCAGCTGCTCAATATAATACAGAAACAATCATGAAAAGTTTATCCAGACTGACCTAATGAGAGAACCAAATTAGTAACAAGCAGTTTTATTACTGTAGCAGGTTGCTTTCACTTCTTTAGTTGTGTTATTCCTAAAAGGACATCAAAAATTAAATTTTCAATATATTTTATGCCTATCTATCTTTCAATGTACACTTTGATGAGTTGACATCCTCAAAAGCAGCTGCTCAATACAATATAAAAGCAATCCTGACAAGTACATCCAGACTGACCTAATGAGAGTGATCAAATTAGTATCGAGCAGGAAAATACACAGGCTGTATAATTAAAGATTTCTGTACCAAGCAAGGACCAGGAATAAGACTGCCGTTTAGTGAAAAACGTCAAAAAAAAATTATATGGCATGATCAATCATCAATCTCAAAAATGATCTTTCGGCTCCCAGAAAGTCAGAAATCTGCTGATAGTTGGAAAAATATCATAAGTGAAGAACAAGTCCCTTTATCTTCTTCCTCGTTGATTTGTTGTCTAGTTAAGTTAATGGCACTGAAAAGCAAACACGGGGCTTTAAATCATTTGTGTAACAGTAATGTCCACCATTCAATCTCGGCATACGCCAGAATTGATCTTATTGTATCTTAAATTCAAGATCTGACAAATTGCAATATCAAGACCAATTCGCAGTGAGTGTATGTGATATTTAGAATCATCAAAACATAGTTTGCTGTGGTAATTCAATTCCAAGTCTTAAATCTGCCAGTAATGGCACTATATGTCACCTTAATGGCGACAAGCTTATGACCAGTGCGCTGTGTAAGTCACGACTGTTACAGGATAAAAGTTCAGCAGAATATTCAAATTATAGTCTTTTTCAGTTTAAGGTACTAGTAGCCTATCCAGGATAATCACAAAGAGTCTCAAGTTCTGCCAGATAAAAAAGCAATTTTTCCTTTACATGGGTCATTGCTCGACCCATCCTTTTTCTTTGATTGGATGTTCTGTTCCACATCCATCAATTGGTTTAGTTCCAATTCTCTGACAGCCATAGCCTAACTGACATTTCAGAAGGAAATATTTATATCAGGCAGTATTTTTATTTGAGAGGTGTTATCATTTGTAAGGTCTGCACTGGGAAAGAGAAATTAAGTAGCTTTGCAGGACATATGACAGAGAAAATGTGGATCATTTTCAAATGTGTTTCACTGGTATAAATTTTTTTTTTTTCATTTTGCATGATGTGGCCAATAAGTCCAAACAAACACATTTCTCTTTAGAGCAATGACCTTGCTTTTTAATGCCAAGCTTTGCTAAGAGTGCAGGGTCATCATCGTAAAATATATCCACATCATAGTGGACGCTATGGACATTACAATGGACATTACAGTTGCTGTGACCAGTTCATAACAAGGTCGCCATTGCTGAAATGCCAAGTCAGTGCCTTATTATGCCAGATATACCAATAATTGTAAACCACTGATTGGCACTTGTTACATCCATGTGATACAAATTAACCAATTAGAACAGACATTACACAAATTTATCCAGTCAAAACATGTGACACAAGTTAGCAAATTAGACAGGATGTGACACAAATTAGCCAATTAGAACGGATGTAAGACAAAAACCGATATTGGGACGGAGATGAACATATCTGATGATTAATTATCATTTTACTTATCTGATATATCACCCCTACTTACTAGTACTGCAGTAACTGTTAGAATATAATTCAATTTCCATTTATTGACTTGGCAGTTACTGCAGTAACTGTTAGAATATAATTCAATTTCAATTTATTTCTGTTCTGCATATAAGCAGTGTGCTTCTCTTCAAAGTCTGGCCCCAGGTTGAAAGCA